TTCACTGTTCTTCTCTGGACTATCTCCAGACTTGTTAAGATATAGAACCTTCTCCCCACTTTGAAATCCTCACACTCTATTTCTTTAAGACTACACATCTATTTGGATCTACAGAGAAAGTAGTTGTGTCTTAAGGAATGTAAACTAGTTTTAATATATTTAAACTAATTATACTAATACTGATTAACATAACTAGTAAGGTATAGCTGTTGTCCAATAGCATGCAAAAGACTCTAAATTGCATGTAAGTGATTGTCAGAGTTATCGCTGATCTAGATTATCAGTTTAAATGGGAACAATATGCATATATCTTTTCCCCAATTTCAAATACTCAGCTTTGAGATAATAAGTGCTTATTATTATCATCACCACCCTTGATACTTACAGAATATTTCTGAATGAGCCAAACTCAACAACCCTGTTAATGGGATACTGAGATGATTTCTGTATTTCTGATGAGGAAACTGAAGCCATAGAGGTTATGAACCCTGCCCAAGATCACACGGCTGGTAGATGGTAGAGACAGGCGCCACGTCAGGTATTCTGCTCTGAGGAATTACAACCGATGGCAAAGCTACTGTTTATCAGTCCTGTTAGTGTGAGCTGCCGGTCTCGGTAGTAACTCATCAGTGAGTGTAAATGTGGTCACACCTAGAGACAGGCCCCCTCTCCGTAACTGCAATAGTTCCAAACCCACCTGGAGTCTGATTCTCTCTATGAATGATTTTCTAACCTATTTTTTTTCAGAATCAACTCCTGGAACACGCCTGGCAATCATAGGTCCTCAATACATACCTACTGAGTGGTTTAATTTGTGCCCCTGGCCCCGTCAGTTTTCTGGTCCCAGGGAAGATCAGATACTTTGTGAGTCCTTCAGTGGTGTGGAGGCAGGCATGGGAAGGAGGTACAGAGTGAAGTGCCGTCAGCATGCCTCCGCCCAAATGCAGCCCCTCTGCTTGGGGGTCTGCCGGGGTGGGCCCCGTTAACTGGGCTTGCACAGCGGACCTCTATTGTTGGGCTCTGAGTCCAGGTCACCTCTTTCTCTCCAGAGGAAACTACACCTCTCTTTTTTATCTACTGCTCTCCATGAGAACCCCAAAGACGAGTGACACAGTATCTCATAGATGCGATGGCTCTCTTCAGGAGGAGCTGGGTAGCGTGGGAACCACGAAGGCCCACTGCAGCTGGACCCCCGACTCCTGTCCCCCCTCAGGGCCACATCTGCATCCCCATGCTGACTCCTGCCCCCCTTCCTTGACCCTTCTCCCCCTTTCCCATTTGTAGAGAACCCCCTGCCCACGGCTTTGCTTCCTAGGGACCTTCTTATCCTTCCCTCAGGCTGATGGCTGCTGATCTTTCTCGGTGCATTGGAGCATCTGAAACTCACTTATGTGGAGAGTTCCAGCTTCTTCCCACATTGTTTCTGGGTCTTGTTCACATCCTTGGCACAGTGTTCAGAATGGACCGATTGTAGGGAAAGGGTACCCAGTTTCACTTGGCCCTGGCCAAGCCAGTGTAATTTATTATACTAACGCAGTGGTTCTCAAATTTTATCATTCATCAGAATCACCAGGAAAGCTTGTTCAAACATGAATTGTTGTGCCTCACCATCAGGATTTCTGATCTGTAGGTGGTGGGGTGGGGTAAGAATTGGCATTTCTAACGAGTTCCCACGTGATACCCATGCTGCTGTGAGAACTGAAGCCCAAAGTGGGGGAGAAAATTCATGCTATTGTTGTTAAGTTTCTGGTTGTTTAAGGCAGATCTCAGTGGGAAGACACCCAGAGTCAAATACTCCACTTATATGTACAAACCCATATGAATGGCGACTGTTGATCTAGTGTGTCAATGGTCAAACCAACACAGAATGCCACAAGTTGATTGGAAGTAATACAACTTTTAGGAAGGTTTCTACAGTAACCCAAGTCAGCCGCCCACCGGGATGTGCATTCAACGCCTGGGTAATTAATGTAGGAGTTTCAGTTTTGCAACTTCTGTACACCTTTCATAACTAATGGCTCTGCATGGGGCTGATTTAGAGTGAAACAGTCATTTACAGGGGTTGAGACAATGAAGCAGAGCTTCAACCTCGACTTAAGCCAAAACCAAAAGAGAAATCTGCTTGCACTTATGAACTTTACTTGCTTCTCTTTGGATCACCACTTCATTTGCCTACAACTTCTTGTCTTTCTAGAAAAGAGGGTGGGGGCCTTATACTGGGTACTTGTGACAAGGATTCTGGACTATTCTCTGGGAGTCCTATTAGCAAAAAAGGGCCTAGGTCCTTGGGAGGAACTGTGAAAGGAACTGGAAACTGAATGGACAGTCAGGTACATGATTCTCAGGTAAACATGAAGGTGAGAGATACTAAACTCTGGTGGGCATGGGCCATGAGGAGACTGGACATCATCTCTAAGGGCCTGTTCCCCAGGGTTGGTAAAGAGGGCTCTGGATATGATGGGGAGGTGGTTAGGAAGTTCTCCTACCACTTATATGGGAGACTTGACTTAAACCCCTTGAGCTAAGGGAGAGATGCCAAAGGCTGCAGAGCTGGAATTCTCTTCTAAGAAGCAAGAGAACAACCTCTAAGTTTGGTTCAAGGAAGTAGGGGAAATCCTCCCCTGGAAACAGGAAGGAACACGCAACCTAGGGAGGCTAGGAACTGTTAGAAATAGAGGGAGTGGGGAAGGTAGGCAGCAATGATGAAGGCTCTTGGTCCCATAGCTAGAAGACGGGAGGTGGAATTAGGGGGGAATCAGGAAGTGAACTTGAACTTGGGACTGTCTTAACAAAACAAGAGTGTATACCTCTGTGGTTATCATCTGTATTCTGGAACATTCTGAATCCTGGCTTGGCCTATGGGAAACAAACACGACCTTTTGTTTTGCAATAATTTCAAACTTATAGAGAAGTTTCAAGAGCAGTAGAAGGAACTCCTCAAAAGGAACCCTTTGTCTAGATTCAACATTTTGCTCATTGACTTTATCATTTCCTGTCAATCTACCTATCCAATTACACATGCGCGTGCGTATACACACACACACACACACACACACACACACACTTAATCTACCTGAGAGTTAATTGCAGATATCATACCTTTTAACCCTAAATAAATCTGTGTTTTTTTCTAAGAACAAGGACATTCTCTTACATAACCACAGAATAATATTCAAAATCAGAAAACTTAATATTGATAAAATATTAATATAATATAAACTATAATCCCTATTCATTTTTCTGCAATTGTCCCAATCATGTTCTTTATGGTTTTTGTTGTTGTTGTTCTGTCTCTTTAGTGTCCTTTAACCTGGAGGAGTTTTTCAGCTTATCCTTTTCTTTCTTGATCGTGACAATTATTTTGAACAATTTCTTCACCTTTGGTTGCTCTGAAGTTTCCTCATGATTAGAGACAGATAATGCATTGTGGGCAGGAGTTCCAGGGAATTACTGCATCCTTGTAAGTGCATTGTAACAGGTGGCATAGATATCATTTTGTCCCAATATTGAAGACCTTAACTTTGAAATGGTGTCTACTAGATTTCTCCACTGTCAAGTTCCTTCTTTCCCAAAGGCCTCATTTTAAATGTCAGGAGTACAATAAGCAATAACATTGGAGAGCAAAATCTATTAGGGAGTCACTCTTCACATATATGGGGACGACGGAAGAAGACTAAACTTTGGGTGATGAACACACAATACAATATACAGATGATGTATTATAATATTGTACACTTGAAATTTATATAACCTTATTAACCCAATAAATTTAATAATAAAAAAATAGAGTCTCTCATTTCTATAAATGAACTCTTTGCCCCTCCCAACTTAAACCTTTTCAGAGTCTTAATGATTAGGGGAAAATTTGAGCCAGAAGATAGATTTCACATGGTTCTCTGTTTCCCAAATGTGGATGCTTCACTGTTGGTGAGATAAATGGTCTTTTTACATGCTGCCCATTTGTATCAGATTTAATTGTATCCCTCAGTCGCAAAGCTTTCCCATTTCAGTGATCTCACCAACCTTCTGAATACACGAAGTAAAAAGGTTCAGCTGGGTGCCAGTCTGTCTTGAAATTTCAAATAATTGCTAATTTTTCCCTCTTAAAAAAAAAAAGAAGTAGAAAGGGAAGACTTTTGTTTCACAATCTTGGCAGGCAATAATATAAAGTAATTCAATAGCATTTTTTTAAAAAAATCACATTTATTTTTTCAGTTGCCTGCTGTTCTTCATTGAAATTAATATAAAATTTTAATTTACAGTATTACAACAACTTTCTTTTAAATTACATTTGAAAATGT